AATGTTTTTCGTGGTACCTCAAGTGGCTGAAATGCTGGGAAAACGATGACTTTCATAACGAGAATACAAGGAAAACATTGTTCTTGTGCACCTTTCCCTAAAAAGGACTTGAATATGTGTTTGTGTCATTTGCAGACCATGAGCAGGTTGGCAGTGTAGCCCTGTGCTCCATGCTGCATCGCTCTAACCTGCTGGCCATAATTGGAGGTGGAGTCAATCCTAAATTCTCAGAAATATCTGGTGAGTTGGTTTAAAGTAGGACGTGCATTGTACAGCTTTGACCTGTGTGTGTGTGTGGGGGGGGGTCATTATTATGAGAGGTGTTTGCTATACCCAAGATATGTGAGTGCACCTTAAAAACATGATGGAAAAATAAGTTTTTAACAAAACAATGTCAATGTCTCAGTGTTGATTTGGGACGATGCTCGGGAGTCACGGGATCCTAAGGACAAACTGGTGCTGGAATTCACCTTCACCAAGCCTGTTCTGGCTGTCCGCATGAGACACGACAAGTGAGTTTTACATCACCTCACACATGCTGTTTATTGTCACTGAACTGTCAAAATGATAGTTGCCTTTGCTCCCTCTAGGATCATCATTGTGCTGAAGAACAGGATCTATGTGTACAGTTTTCCAGACAACCCTGTCAAGCTTTTTGAGTTTGACACCAGAGATAACCCCAAAGGTATCATACTACTTGTGTAGAGCTGTTTTTCCATTGCAACATCCTGCTTAGCATTTTGAATACAGTGAATTCTTTCTTTCAGGTCTTTGTGATTTGTGTCCCAGTTTGGAGAAACAGCTTCTGGTCTTCCCAGGTCACAAATGTGGCAGCCTGCAGCTGGTTGTAAGTCACAAACAAACAGGACATTTTATTTCTCCTGAAGAAAATGTCTGTGTCGTAAAAGTCGTAGTCTAACATGTTGCTTTTTATTCAGGACCTGTCCAACACCAAACCTGGAACATCATCTGCCCCTTTTACTATCAACGCCCATCAGAGCGAGATTGCCTGTGTGGCACTCAACCAGCCCGGCAGCGTGGCAGCTTCAGCCTCTCGTAAAGGAACCCTCATCCGCCTGTTCGACACAACGACCAGGGACAAACTGGTGGAGCTGCGCAGAGGAACAGACCCTGCCACTCTTTACTGGTAAACACTCAAGTAGAATATTTCAATGTTCCTGTGTCTTCAAAACCTCTCAGAATCAGACCTCAGTGCATGCAGCAAGGAGCACACTTAGCGTTACAGAGATCCTTCACCCAATAAATCAAAAATAAATAAATAAACGCCCTCTTCCTAAAACTCCTATGAATGTATATGAATAGAGCCAGTTACAAAAATATCTGTCTACACATTTCATTCAAAAAAAGATCACCACTGCACAGCTTCAGTTGATATTAACCATACGTTGTGACATCAACAGGGGTTGCTGAATCTGGCCCATTATGTGTTAATGGGCACATTATGTTCTCTGGTAATTTCTTTAATTAATTAAATGAATTACAATAGTCTAAACTAATATATATCTTACATCTTAAAAACTAGGATTTTTTTTTTTTTTGGCAATAGAACAATACATTAATTCTGTTCCTCCATCAAGATCAGAGAAATTAAAGACAAAGAAAAAGGCCTTCTTATTCCATATTTATTCTGCATGATGAATAAACTGATTTTAGGAAAAGTCATGAAATATGAGGTGAGGGTTTTAATGTAACCGAGCTACAGAATGGCCTGTAGCTCGGTTACATTACATTTGGCAGTTGTAAAATGATACTTGTGGTTTTTCTTTCCAGCATCAACTTCAGCCATGACTCATCCTTCTTGTGCGCATCCAGTGACAAAGGCACAGTTCACATCTTTGCACTCAAAGACACCAAACTCAACCGTCGCTCTGCGTAAGACCACTTTCTGCTAATTGAGTCCTTTTAACACACACACACACACACACACACCATCGTGATCCTCACGCCTCTGCTCCTCTTCATCCCACAGGCTGGCACGTGTTGGGAAGGTGGGTCCTGTGATTGGTCAGTATGTGGACAGCCAATGGTCATTGGCCAGCTTTACTGTGCCTGCTGAGTGTGCCTGTATCTGTGCTTTTGGAAAGAATACTTCCAAGAACGTCAACTCAGTCATTGGTGAGGGAAACGTCAAAATATAAATGTTGTCTTTTGTCATATACACAACACAGCAACATGACTGCATTGGTTGTTACAGTGACATAACCATAAATTCACACCTAGCATGTTATGGTTGGCTCGTTCACTGCTAAACAAAGAAGAAAGAGCCGGGACTTCCGGCGTGAGGACATGGTAGCATAGCACCAGAGACCCTGCTATTGGGGCTCAACAATAAAGGAGGAGATGTGTGGCGAAATAATGCTTATCGGGAATCTGAAAAAGAAGTCGGTCACAGCGTAACATCCCGAGAGTCAAGATGGGGAGGGGAGAGAGCCACACTGGAAGCACACCAACCTATAGACTCTCAAACAGCTGATCCCGTTTTCTTTATTGGTTAGGATTTGATAGTGATGGGAGTTTTACCAAAATTCATAAGATTCTTTGCTTTGATGCTGTTTTTAATGCGTTTTAAGGATGTAAACACAAACATTTTACCCATGTCTGCAATTATTAAAAAAAAAAATAAAATACGATAGTGGCATGTGAAGAAAAACAAACTTTATAGCTTGAATATTCAGTGGATTGCTGGATTACTAAAACAATCGGTAGCTGCAGCCCTGGATCATGTGTGTGTCGGCCTTTGCTGTAAGTAAAAAAAAAAAAAGTAGTCCAGAAAACTCCCATAATGACCATTCTGCACTGTATGCACCATGGACGCATGTTTTACACTTAGCATGAGTTCACTTGTATTTACATATGGCATCTGATATTTTAAGAAGAACAAGAATTTGTGTCATTGTGCCTTTTTTTTTTTCTCTCTCTCTCTCCATATGCCGTAGAGCCACAGTGCTAAACTCTTTAAACTTCTTTAAAAAAGAAAATTGTCATTGTAGTTCTGTTTTGTCTCCTGCAGCCATATGTGTGGACGGGACCTTCCATAAGTACGTGTTCACCCCTGATGGAAACTGCAATCGAGAGGCCTTCGATGTGTATCTGGACATATGTGATGATGACGACTTTTAAGGCCACACAGAGAAACAAGTTCTAGATGAACATGAGGATTATGAATGGAAAAAGACTGATTTTAATGAATTATCTCCTGCTGTGAATCTGAGTACAGACTTAATGCAAAGAGTCTGTTATATGAAGTTTTATGTAATCAGTTTTACTTAGTGTATAGCAGTGTGAATATAAAGTTTTCTATTGGACTGTTAACCATCACTCTGAAAAGTTCATGTTATATAACAAAAACAGGAATGTATATGTTGTATGTCTTGGAAACTAATATTGAATTAAAATGATACTAAAATTTGAATTCACTTTTGCTAAGAAAGCAGAACATGAAGCCCTGTTATTTGCCTGTTACATTAGTGAATGTATGGTGCACATTTCATGGCATAAACAAAAAGCACTTACGTGGAAATGTTGCTTTGTCATGCTGCTGTAGCAGATCACAAACCTCCAGAGCTGCCACTCTCTGGGGAGTATTTCCTTTTAAAGAACATGTACTTATTTTATGTATATTTTGTTCTTTTTAAACATGGTTAAGAAGTTGGTAGTGCAGTAAAAATTAGATAAGAGTAGCATGACAGAAGTTTACTCTGATTGCACAAACGTCATGTAGGAGCAGGTAATGGATAAAAGGCATTGAGCTTATTACATGGAGGTGGCAGATGATTGCTCCATTCCATAGTCAGTATCCGTAGACACTCCTGTCAATGATCTGACTTGAGGGGGTTCAGGCCTAAGCAGAACAGCAGTGGGGACAGAGCTACAGTGCTATGGGCTTGAAGTTTGCCCCTAGCGTTGTACGCCACATCCCCATTGAGTTCTCGATGAAGGGTCTTAGGGTCCTAATGATCTTGTACAATTCTAGGCATTCTGGGATCCAGGTGTGGGGCACTAAATCACAGGTGGTCTTGTAGTCAGTAGCTGGTGTTTCGTTCCTCTGGTGTTCCTGCCTATTCTCTTCTGTTCCCCACTCATGTATTTAGCCATTTGCTTGTTCATCTTAGCCACTATGATTCCTGATGGGAGTTTCCATGTGGTGCTCAGGCAGGTTATTGGCTTGTAGTTTGATGGGACCTTCAGTTAGCAATTCTGGGTGTTTCTCAACGATTAGCAGCTGGTTCATTTGTGCTGCCATATGCTCGTGGAATCAGCTTCTTCAGTCAGTATGCATGAAGCATGTCGGGACCTGCTGCTGTCCAACTCTTCATACTGGAGACCCTTTATTAGATATCTGCCACTGTGATGGTTACTGGACCCTGTTCAAGGAGGTTACTGTGGTCTGCTCTTAGGTCCACAACTTGCTCCTAAGTTAGTCTATTGCAAGTATGTTTTTAATCGCAAATGTGGGTAAAACACTCACATTTCCATGGTGACAATGGCACGCTACAGAGCCATCTACTAAATGAAGCATCGGAGCAAAGAATGTGTGTTGAATTTTTTTTAATAATAGAGTTATTCGAATTTGTTGCTGAATTGTTTGGATGAGAAGTCTTCATCTGAACACATACACATTCAGTGAGAGTATCTTTTTAGCTGTCCAATATGGTAACTTTATGATTGCCGGCAAAACAAAATTAAAAGGCATCTAGAAGCTGTAGCCAAATAAAGCAAGACTGAACTTACTAATATTTAAAACTAACCTCAGTTAGTTTTAAATATTTGTATAATCATACATTTTTATTTTTGAAAAGAATTATTATGGTTATACCCCCATCAGATACATTCTGTGAATCTATTTCAATCACAGCTGTAGAAATTATTCAACTGAGCACTGAGCCAGTGTCATGATCTCCCCCTCAGTTCCACTTCATCAACCACCTTTTACTGTGTTCGAAGGTGCCAGTGACTTTAGCTCACTTAATCAAACTTCAGTTAGTTCCAAGCATCAAAAACAGAGTCCAGAATCACTTGTTATACATCATACGGCAACAGGTGGACCAAACATCTCCATGGTCTCCATAACAAGGGATAGATGATCGAGAAACGAGTTCACAGACACTCTGAGGATTCGTGCTTCATCAGCGCTCCACCTCCTGAAACACAGCGAAGGATTTTTAGTACAAAAAGGACACAGATGTTAGGGCTCAGTTTGATACAGGCTATGAAGGAGCCAAGGAAGATAATCTCACACAGAAAGCGTGCTTCCAGACACTGTAATCAGTTTGCTTATGCCGCCTTTCCGGGGCTCTTTGTCCGGGGAGAGCGACCGCAGAGCGATGGTGGCCTCACGAGATGATGGGAAGGGAACATCCAGAGAGCTGCACGAGGGTCAAGGAAGACTGAGGACATGGCTGAGACAAAAGAGAAAAATAAAAGAGGCCGGGTTTTTCATCTCTGACTCTGTTCTCTCATTTTGCCCTACTTGCAATGGAAAATGCTATTTGCTGCATTAAAAAGGCTTCATCCTTACTATAATCTGTTACTGACACACTGCCCCACCATAAGGAATATATTTATGCTTTAAAAATAAAAGCTTGAAAAACACACCCATTTATTACAAGCGACCTATTTCTTAACATTTTTTTTCACCCCCTTTCTTTATTCTCACTGACTCTTCTTGTGCAAATATCTCTTAAACAACAGGAAGGTGCAGGTTCACTATAACTAGGGTTGCCAACCGTCCCTTAAAATACGGAATCGTCCCGTATTTCGAAACAAAAGTACACGTCCCGTATTGAGCTAATAAGGGACGCACTTTGTCCCGTAATACAGTGAGAATCAAAAGTAGCCTATAAATGTTAATGGAATTAACGCTTTGTTTGAAAACATAATTCCCAGCCCCTCTCCTGCTTTGTGACCAATGAGCTGACAGCACACTTATGACAATTCGAGTATGACAATTCAGATTACCGCTCATCTCATTGGTCGAGGAAAGGTCGCTTGCGGAGAAAATACCGGAAGACAACAGATGACCACAACAAGAAGCATGGCCAACAGGGAAACAAACGCCGACACTGCAGTGCAAGTCTCGGACGACAGTACACCTAAAGCTGGGCAGACACTGCGATTTTTTCAGTCGCGATATTCAGCTCCTGCTCAAACTGCATGATTGACTCGCAGGGGTTAGAAGTTGGTAGGTCACGATGCAGGGTCTCACACTATTCCGCCCGATGCTCTGATGCCTGACCTGAGTGCTCACACTGTGCCTCCATAAAATGAAGGTTATAACAGAAAATCTGTCGCGCTCTCTCTCTCAGTCTTACACTCACACAGACACACCACCACCATCAACTTTGCTAAATTGCTAATGAAAAACATTGTTCAGGCAGCTGTGATTGGGCAGCAATGTACATCCAACTATTTTCACGGTTGTTGTGGTCGTGATAATTTTGTGATGCCACATTGAAAAGGCTCGGATGAGCTTTCCAAAGTTCTACAAGTTGTGCCTCCATCGCTTGTGTCCAGATCAGCTGTGCTGCTCCATTTTTTACACCAACGTTTACGTGTTTGCGCGCGAGCAGTGTGAGCGGCTGTGGTGAGACCCTCACGAGCGATTGATTGATCGGGAGCTGGTCGTGAGGTGTTAATCCCTTCTCGTTACCCCACGTATACTACACGATGCACGATGAAGGCCAAAATCGGTCCGATCACTCAAAAATCAGCTCAAAATGGGCCTAAAATCGCACAGTGTGAGCCCAGCATTAGAGCAGCAATGTTTGTTCCCCTCAGAGAAAGGGAAGAATGGGAAAAGGAAAACACCTGGCTGGAAAAAGTTAATATGGGCATGTGCAGTGAATATCAGCGCTATGTGGCCAGAAGTGTGATAATATAATTTATTTTGTGTAATAAACAACTGCAAGGATAGATGATTACAACAAATTGATGACTAATACATAAAAGTAATACATAGATGAATAATGATGATGAGTTAAGATGCGTAATCATGGGAACAAGCGGGTTTACAAACAGGAGCAGCTGATTAGCTTTAGAAAAGCTGAAATAATACCTCAGCTGAAGCCAATTGTACTAAATGCACTAAATGTGCACTGTTACAAGAATGTTTTTCTTTCTATTGTTTTATATTATTTTAAGTTAAGCAGGACAGAGTTAAAGAAAGATTTACTTATATTCTCAAAAGTTAAGCATGACAGGCTTCTGTTTAAGAAGGAGACCTGTTTTATTGTGTTAATGTTGTCATTTTGAGCTAAAAATAAATGGCTAAATGATCATTTGTTTCACATGTGTTCATATCACAAAGAATACACATCTACTTAAATCAAATTCAAGTCAAATGGTTAAAAAAATAATTTCACACACAAAAAAAGAGCTAGAAAATTCACCACACTGGGAAGGGTGAAGACAACTGGGTCGCCCGGCCCTGGCCACGAGGTGTCCCTTATTTATTTTTCAGGGAGTTGGCAACCCTAACTATAACCAAAACTCCAGACTCAAACATAATGTTACAACATCCACAGTAGTTATAGTCATCGGTGAGTAGTAAATAAAATTATGGAAAGTTTCTTTAGAGGATGATTTAAAAATGTTTAAACTTCAAACTCTATGCCAGCTTCTAGCTTCGCTTGACAGTGTAGAACAAACCTGATGACACAAACTCCTATTAAGCTTAAAAGTCAACCTAACACACCCAAACAGAAAGAGCCCAGATTCAGATTCAGGTTATTTCGAAACCTCAATACAATTACCGGCACAAATACTTCGAATGTTTCGTTGTTTCAAGAAGCCTCGCTTTACCCTTCGCTAGTAGAAAATATCATTAAAGTTTTCATAGACCTCAGTGGTAAATATTGACAACAATAAAGGATACAACTCCAGTTTGCCTGTTCCTCCGTTAGCTTCTCCAGCTGCCGCCATTGCGATTGTTGTGCTGAAACGAACCGGAAACGGAAACGCTTTCCATGTATGAGGAAAAGGACAGCTGTCCCCAGTGGCAGAATGCAGTATTACAACAGTGAATACTGCACAACAATAGAAATAAATATTTTTAGTGAACTGAAAATACACTAAAAATTAACAAAACTAGGTGTGAATAACATTTAAATTCACTAATATAAACGAAAAATAGATTTTTGCAATAATAATAATAATAACAACAGTATACTAACTCAAAATGGATGAAATCCAACCGAAAAGACAACAGAAATTTGAAATGAAAATTACATTTTTAAGAAATTATGGAGAAAATACACGTCACATGTCAAAAACATGTCAAAAAGGTAGCCTGGTTGTGACTTCTTTGACGTTTTCATTTATTTATTTTGAAAAGGAAACTTTTTGCAAAAGAAATGTGAAGTGTAACTTTTCTGCTATAAAATTAGCAGCCACTAATTCCAAATTTCTAATCAAAGTCTTCCAACCTGCACCCAACCTGAAACACCTCCTGGCACTTGGGCAGCTACTTTGAGGTATTGGGATTGGGTATTGGGCAATACGCAATAATACCAATACGTTAATTTCACGTTTCATCACTACATAAAACTGTATGGATAGAACCGCCAGTCAAATCTATTTGGAATGCCTCAAGGTGGTTTCTTTTTTGTGTTTAAAAGCAACTAATACAACTAATAACTGCTTTGTTCATATCTTCCTGAAGCCATCATGGCTTCATTATGATGGTATTCAGTTCAGTTCAATTTTATTTATATAGCTCCACATCACAACAACAGTTGCCTCAATGGTCTTCACAAGGCAAAGACTCTACAATAATGCAGAGAATGTGAATGTGTCCCTTTGAATGTGTCCCCAAGTGCAGTTGCAAAAACCCATCAAGCGCTACAACAAAACTGTCTCACATGAGGACCGCCCCAGGAAACAAAGCCAAGAGTCACCTTTGCTGCTGAGAATAAGTTAATCTGCGTCACCAGCCTCAGAAATAGCAAGTTGACAGCACCTCAGATTAGAGCCCAGATAAATGCCACACAGAGTTCCAACAACATGTAGCCACACATCTGAAAGCATATTGATTTGCTCTCCTGATATTTAGACTGTAGTATTGATATTTTAACTATCTCTACGTCAACTGTTCAGTGGAAACTGCACAGTGGTCAGAGGAGACCGCACAAATCAGGCCTTCGTGGTCAATTAGCTGGCAAGAAACCACTACTAAGTAAAAGCAACAAGCAGAAGAGATTTGTTTGGGCCAAGAAACACAAGGAATGGACATTAGACCAGTGGAAATCTGTGCTTTGGTCTGATGAGTCCAAATTTGAGATCTTCGGTTCCACCTGCCTTGTCTTTGTGTGATGCAGAAAAGGTGAATAGACTGTCTCTACATGCATGGTTCCCATCGTGAAACACGTGGAGGACGTGTGATAATGTGGTCTGCTGGTGACGCTGTTGGGGATTTATTCAAAATTGAAGACACACTGAATCAGCACGGCTACCACAGCATCCTGCAGCGCCATCCCATCCAGTTTGCATTTAGTTGGATATCATTTATTTTTCAACAGGAGAATAACCCCAAACACACTTCCAGACTGTTGATAGTCATTTATTTCCAGTAATGAACAGAAAAAATGTTTTTGGAGTTGAATGTTATGCTGGACTTCTCAGGAAACTCCAATGTTCCTTAAGAATTCTGCACAGTATTATATAGCAGTGATATATCCTTTGGTTAAGGAGGGGGGCATCCAAATCAGCATTAAAAAGTGATTTATGTAAAAAGGCACAGCACAAGATATGCATAAGAATATTCTTTACACCCAACTGTAACTGACAGAAAGTTAGATCTAGTGTTTCTGACAGTTTCTTACCACTTGAAGCCCTAAGAAATAAATTAAGTAAATCATTGTTATGGTTTAGCTGCATGGGACAGAAACACTTTATGTATAAATTTGTATTAGCATTCACGTCAGTCATGGTCTTTATGTAGGACAAGAAATCAAAATACTTCACTAATTGGGTGGCTATCCAATGAATCTGCAAATATGACTCGTGGCCCTCCACTGGATTTATATCAGGGAAGGCTTGGGCCAATCTCAACACTCCATGCTACAGTCCTTGAGCCATCCATTAGCAGTTTTTGTGATGCTGAAGGATGTATTATCCTGCTGATGGAGGTCAGTAGCATCAGGAAGATGTCGGCTGTTTGCTACAAAGTTAATTTAGGTCACACTTATCAAGGTAACAATATGTGAAATTAAGATTTTTATGTATAGATATGTTGTAATGACATGGCTCTTTTTTTTTGTTTTGGGTTAAATGGTCACATATATTTATTTTTGTATTAATTGAGCATTGTATCAACAAATAAAAGTAAATCATAACAATTAATGTTTGATAACTGCAATGTTGGCATGCAGTTAGTACATTGTATAGGGAGTAGCTGGTAATAATGGCCCTAGGGCATGGTAGAAAATTCTCCCCCCTAAAAAAGATTTTTTCCTATATTGTAGGGCTTCTTGATGTTGCACTCAGCCTAATCACATCAGGTAGTTGCTGCATTACTCCCTCTAAACTGGACTTAGGGTACAGAAAAGTACAAATGGGACAAACAATAAGAATGCCTAAATAAAACACTAAACTTTGCCTTAATATGTGCTTATACTGATAAACATTTTAAAAAGGATGGAGAGGATCATAATGCATTATAGCTTGATCGTAACAAAATGGAATCTAAATTTTCAGTAAAACCCATTAAAATACACGAGAATGCCAGCAAAACGTCTGTGGGCACAAACATCTTTAACGAAATGTGCAGTTGGCTTTGTTGTGCAGGACAGACGGATGGAGGGAGGTACGTGGAACCTTCATGTCCCATCAGCTAGTTTACTGTCCACCTCCTCTCAGTATGTCACAGAAACTTGACGCACTCAGCCTGACGTAGTCCTGGGAAGCAACTGCTGTTTGTAGATACCAGCCAGAGCTTTGGAAGCACTGTGGATCATCTGGCGTTGGGTTAGGCCTGTCATGGCCTGGTGCCAGTCTGTTCTGTTGATGTTGGGAAGGCTTTGCTCCAGGACCTCACCCACGGTAACACTCAGACCTGACCAGCGCAGGCTGTAGTCAGGAGGGGTCATGGACTGAGCCTATATGGGGAAGGTTACAAAAACACTGTGAGTTGTAGCAGGTTTCTACATGGGAGATTTTGAATAAAATAATTCTACGGTACAACCTGACATTTTTTGTTCAAAGACAAAAAGTCAAGAGAAAACTGTAGAGCCTGAAAAAGGTGGGAAACTTTATCTTCTACCAGCATGACAGGATATTGCCAAAAGTATTTGCTCACCCTTCCAAATCATTAAATTCAGGGATTCCAATCACTTTAAGGTGTATAAAAATCAAACACTTAGGCGTGAAGATTGCTTTTAAAAACATTTGTCAATGGGTCCCTCTTATCTGCTCAGGAGTTGGGTTTAGTTCTAGCATCCCAAGATATGTTTGCCAGTTTCATGACCTTCCCACTAACACATTACCTGCCTTGTGGAAAGCCTTCCCAGAAGAATTACAGCTGTAAAGGTTGGGCGGACAACATATTCAAGTCTGTGGATAAACAATGGGATGCTACTCAAATTTGTTTGAGTGTAAAACCAGGCAAGCCAATACTTTTGTCAGTAGAGTGTACAGTGTTCCCTCGTTTATCGCGGGTGTTACGTTCAAAAAATAACCCGCGATAGGTGAAATCCGCAAAGTAGCAAACTTTATTTTTTACAATTATTATAGATGGTTTAAGGCTGTAAAACCCCTCACTACACACTTTATACACATTTCTCAGAAAGGGGATCGACATTTTCACACGTTTCTCTCTCGTTTAAACACTCTCAAACTTCAAATCTTCGAAAATAAGTCCAGCATTATCGAATGAAACCAAAGATCAAACCCTGTTTTCAGGTCCAGAACATGGGCACAGAGCAGCTGCGAGAGAATTCAACATTAATGAATCAATGGTACGGAAGTAGAGGAAGCAAGAAGAATGAGTTCAGTAAAGTTTGACTTATCGGACATTTTGGTTTCACTTAATGCTCCTTATAATCCTTTTGTGTTTGTTGTCTTCTGCTAGCGAAGATTTATGTAAATTTGACAAGCTGGACGCAACTGTACTGTACAGGAGACACGGCACGATGTAATTGATTGAAAATGGTCTACAGTTGATCAGGACGCAGAACACAACGCACTGTGACAAAACAAAAAAACAAACAAAACAAAAAAAAACAGCGGGGCCGTGAAAACTGAACCGCGATATAACGACGGACCACTGTATAACAAATCAAAAACTAAGGGAAACCTACAATACTTACTCAAGCAGTGTTGGTTTAGCTTGACTACAGAAGGTAACAGGCCTTTTTAAGCAGGCAGGGCTTCATTTCAACATTCCCCATGATCACCATTTTTTCCACGCACAGATACAAGGCCCCAGGAGCAACCATACATACAGTATACACAGCCAAAAAACTCCACGCCACCCTCACCCGCACAGTTTTACTTCTGTTTGGTTTTATAAATTGTAAAAGTTTCTTTTTCCTGAACATTTTTTTTAAATATTTAAACTTCAACCAGAAAAGCTCTTCCTTTGTAAACCAAATGATACCTGCTGGACGTGCTCTAATGCTACAGGGGTCGCCTGAGTGAAGAGCTCGATGTGAATGTTCTGACCAGGGTCCTCGAGGATCAAACATCCGATGTCAAACCACCTGGAAACAAAAAGAAGGTTTTGTTGTTGTTTTTAGAGCTTTTAACTAAATGTTAACGCTTTTGTTTGTTGCCACAAAAAAACATCAAACTGCATCAAACATGTGAATATTTGGCTTGCATTTTATTCAACACATGACTAATTATAAAGTAAATAATGGAAGATGAAAGGTGAATAGAAATGTCAAAAAGCATTTCTGTCCTGTTGTAGATGAAAACTGTTGTAGCCCAGCATCCACACATTTTTTTGTTTTTTATGG